CTACCAAAGTCGTAATGTTTCTCTACTCTATTTCGCCTATAATCACCTGTAAATGCCGGTCAAATGCTCATCTGCAACACACAAGTACACCGCACGCTAGCTGCTTCACACCGACACATAAATATATAGCAGATAGAAAAGCTATATATTTATGTGTCAGTGTGCAGCAGCTAGCGTGCGGCGGCCAGCGTGTGACAGTGTGTTGCAGGTGAGAATTTGGACGGCATTTACAGGAAATTGTCGGCAATAATTGGTGAAAGAGAGGAGAGAAACATTAAGACTTTGGTAGTAAATAGATTTCGTATTTATTTAGAATTACATTTTATTGAAACGCTCCAAGTGCCTGTGGTAACGTACGTGGCGTTATGCCGAAACCACGTTTAGCCATGTGCTCCATTATATCCTCATTTAAACTTCTTAATCCCATTATTACACACAGCACCGATGTGGACCTGACAACTTTTGTCACTTCCACACATCATACGGCCAAAAAAAAACGCAAAACTGATTTCGTATTTTCGATTAAATGTTTTAGGCCTATCAAACTCTAATTGAAAAATGTGTTTAGCAGTATGACAATATAGCGTAAACGTACCGTTAGCACAAATTCAAGAAAACGATCACAAATTTCTACACAAAGTTTCACGCAAAAGATTTTCCACGCGAGATTAAAGCTTTCCACCAATTAAATTCTATAATTCCCTGGATTTTTTTTTGCCATTACAGTTCGCAATTTATCTTTCACGTCCTCTGTCTCTGCTCTGTCAGCCTTGCCTTCTCTGTTTTGTTATCTCTTCTCTCTGACACACAGGACTTGCCCTCGCAGTATCACGAATACAACACCGGCCCTTCCTTCCTTCACGCTGACTTACTCGCATAGTTCTTACACCGTGTGTATCCACCGTCCACGTTCCCGCGTCTCGCTCTTTCCGTCCCTCTCTCTCCGGCATTCTTCGTCTCTCTCGATCGCTCTCCGTCGTTCTTCGTTTCTCCTACTCTTGCGCCTGTTCTCGTCTCTCTCTTTCTCTGTTTCGTTGCTGGCCCGTGGATCGATATAGTGAAGTAGAATGACGGAGAGCGATCGAGAGAGAGGAAGAATGACTACCTCAGCTGAACATTCGCGAGATTTGTCTGGTTATTTTCGAGTAGCGACGTATACCTGGATATATAATCTTCCCGGTTCTTTAAAATCTGGTTACTTTTCACCGCGAGTGCATGTAAACCGCGTCAGGTGATTGCCTCGTCGAGATAATAAAAAAGAAGTATAAAGTTCCGTTCTCAGCGCCAAAATCTCAATTATTTCCGAAGATAGATGGCTTCAGTGTTATATTTAATTATAGATTGACGTTCTAAACATTGGGAAAAACTCACGGAAATCACGGTGAGAAGATGCATGTATATGCAAGCTGGTATGTTATACCAGGTATATATATATTTATATATATATTTATATATATATATATATAAATATATATATATCCCTTCCTCCGTCTTTCCCCCCCTCTCTCTCTCTCTCTCCCTCGCTCTGGGTCGCCTTCCCGGTCTGTTATAGTTATCACATGCTGCGCTACACATCGCCGTGGTTCGACATTTTTGGCAGACGAACGAGAGAGCGACAGTGTGATGCTAGCGTTCATTTACAACCTGGGCAGGTACGCTCGCACCTGAGTGCAGTGCCGCAGCTATAAACACACAACACGCACGCATGCACGCACGCACGCACGCACACACACACACACACACACACACACACACACACACACACACACACACACACACACACACACACACACACACACATATATATATATATATATATATCAGGAGTAGATAATAGGGAATATATAGGGTATATATAGTAGAGATGTAGGGAATATACATATATCACGAAAGCACACCAGGCAACGCCGGGTCCCCACTAGTGTATATTATATTATATATATATAACAGCCACGTGGGAGTAGAGATGATGACATTTGGCAGATTAAAAACGTCGTGTTTGTTCGTAGCGCGCTGCATGGTGCGTCAACAACCACGCTTGCCTGCTCGCTGCTGTCATTTCATAATTGCAGTCCGAGTCTCGTTTAGGTGGGTGTGCGGGTAGGTCTCGCGGGAGTGTAGGGGTGCGAATCTCCCGGGTAGGGGTGAGTGTCGTACGGAGAGGGGTGGGTGTATGCGTGTCGTGGCGAAGCGGTGCACACGAGTGTAGCGTAGAGCCGTAGATGCAGACGCCCCCCTCCCACCTTTGCTTGTCGTGCTAGTTGAACGACCTCTTGTGTTTTACAACGTCCCTCAATGAAAATAGTTCGTAGCTGGTGCGAGCCGCAATGAAGAATCATGGAGTAAACTGTCGTTCCCACTGTAAACTATGCGTCTGAATACGCGTCGGACGCTAACGGAATATCAGAACGCGTCGGAACTAAAGAACAGCATTAAGAGTTTTTGTTATTCTCGCCAACGCTATATTCCGTGCGTAATCGGATATGTTTTTTATTTCTGTGCTGCGTAGTGGCTTGTGCGAAACAAGTGTTTCTATTTCTATGCTTAGCTGGCACATCTCCTGTAATTGCGTGCACTAAGCCTCTTAGTGAGAAAAAAAGTGTGAAAGCACTTACATTGTTGTGTGTACGACAGAGCATCTACCTAGACCGTATAAACGGGGTTTACAAACTTACCGCATTAGTTGAAGAGTGAGAGAAAATGGATGCCAGAGAGAGAGAGAGAGAGATAGAGAGAGCCGAAGAAGAGAGCGACATGGCAGTTATGAATACGAATGGTAAAGAGCGACAGCGTGAGATATAAGCCCATAATATGAGATCATAAGCTAGAGAATTAGAGGGAGGGGAGGCTATTAGAGAGAAACAGAAAAGAAAGAGACTTAGTGAAAGAAAGCAAGGAGAGTGGTCATGAGTAATAAGATAACAAAATAAAATACGAGAGCATTCGTGTGCGCATCGGGGGTTAGTTGCCACTCTCAGCAGTCAGATGGCATATTTGGAGAAAGGCTTTATTGGGCACGTCTATTGTGTCCTGCTCTGCATACAGCCCATTTCAGTCCAGCCTAAATGTTCGTGAACAGAATGTCAACCTCTGCTAAGCCAAGTGATGAATGCTATTCGAGTATGTATTTGCCGAGCGAATCAACGCAGTGGGATTAATGTGCGCCTACAGTCTCAATTTGCAAAGCTAACATGTAGCGATAAGCAGATCATTCGCGCTGAACGCTAAGAATAGCAATTTCTTGCGGCGACAGTGCAATGAGAAACTCGTCCCTCTCCGTCGTTCTTCTCCCTCCGTCTCATCTGCCATCACTCGCCACGCGTATGACCTCCTCCCTAACGATAGATATTCCATCCTACTCCCCCATTCACCCCGTGGCGCTCTCTGGAACGATAATCAACTAAAGGGGAATATACAAGGACATGTAACGTCATAGCGAGTGCACTCCTGTTCCATTGCTTCTGCGGTACCGCCCGGCCACAAGGTGTTCGACTGATCTCGGGCTTTCAGGAAATGGGAGGGCATTGTGAAGTAGGGCGGTTAGGATTTCTGAGACTACGCTCGTGCAACTAATGCGGAGGCAGTAGCCATGCGCTGTTCGTATATTTCACGTGGTCTCCGCCACTAATGATTAATAGTGGGGGACGAAGAATGCGACAACGTCTGACCTTTCTACTGTAATAGAGCCGCCCGGTGCGCTCGGACGAGATTTGCCACAGAATTTGCTCGCGAGTAATATTCGTACGCGAGTGCCCTATAGTGTTAGACATTGTTCTAATGAATATGTCCCTGAGTGCGGTTCGCACGTAGGCGGCACACATGCACGTGCTACATGATTGCACCCGAATTATGCCCTTAATGTTCACAGCATGTTCTTCGGTCGTTCCCATGTTAAAGAGAAACGCGCGCGCACACACATACACGCACATGCATACAGACATAGCCACGCACGCACGCACGCACGCACGCACGCACGCACGCACTCACACGCAGAGAGAAGAGAAAGAGGATGAGGGAGGGAGGGGGGAGGGAGGGAGGAGATGGCAAGGAAGAGCTTACTTGTAATCATGAGAAAGTGGCATGTCATTGATAGTGAATGGTCACCAAGATATACGTTCTTATATCTTAATTATGCCAATACGTTCTTATGTTCAGTCTGACACAGAGTGAAATATACCATTGTATGCGTGTAGTGTATCAGGCATTAGTCATTTCTTCTGTCGTAGTTTCATCTGGGGATGGAGTAAGATTAACATTACTTTTGCGGACCACTTATTCCCCGAGAAGCCCCGACTCATGGTAGCTCGTTGTTGCTGCGAATACTTTGATGAATTAACCATTAGTGTTACTCGCTCATTGATTAGGGTGGGTCTCAATTTGCATTTATGATGCAAGCACGCCACCGACAGTGTAATGAACCCTCGTACACATACAGTAGTTATGCTATTGTAATGTTTTCTAGTAGTAGTATTAGTGATTTATCATACCATCTCTCGATTTTAGCCACCATCTGCAATGGTACCATTTGTACTGGAATCTGATGAATCGGTCGTAATCGAAATTCTGAACAGTGTAAATGTACTAAGTTATTGCAGAAAATATAGTAATACGAATAGGAATTATAATAGAAATTTCTAAGATGATAATGCGAATATAAATGTAAATCGTCACAGCAGTAATGATAACATTGAACAGTAAATGTAAAAAATATGTAGTGATAATAATAATAGTAATAATAATAATAATAATAACCAAAAAATAACAATGACAAAAATTAAGATAATGATACTAGTGATGGTGATGATGATGATGATGATAGTAATTATAATAATAATAAGAAGAAAAAGAACAACAACAACAACAACAGCAGCAGTAACAACAACAACAACAACAACAACAGCAGCAGCAGCAACAACAACAACAACAACAACAGCAGCAGCAGCAGCAGCAGCAACGTCAGCCTCAGTAATGACAGCGGTGTGTGTCTTGCATTGTTGCAGGCTGCTGGAGTCGGACGTGAAGTCGCTCAACTCGATATCGGGCGTGTCCGGCCTCTCTACGCAGTCGTCGTTGGTCTGCAGCAGCCACTCGCGGCACAGCTCCAGCGGGTCACTCGTCTCGTCACACTCCAACCAGAGCCACATGAGCAACGCGACAAACGACGACGAGGTGGCAGCGGCGGTGGCCGCCAGCCAGGAGGAGGACTCGTGGGTCGTGTGGGGCCGCATCGTCAACGACTGGGAGAACTGCTCGAAGAAGAAGGCGGTGACGATAAAGGTGAGTGAGGTCGATGGTGAGGTCACATAGACGAGGACAATGGTGGGTGAATTCAGGACGGGGAGGGCAGGAGTGGGTAATATCGTGAACATGAGGGCAGTGATAGGTTAGACCACAGAGAGTTAAGTCAGGAAGGGGGGGCAGGAGCGGGTAAAATCATGAACATGAGGGCGGTGGGTGGTAAGGTCATGAACATGAGGGCAGTGGGTGGTAAGGTCATGAACATGAGGGTGGTGGGTCGTAAGGTCATGAACATGAGGGCAGTGGGTGGTAAGGTCATGAACATGAGGGCAGTGGGTGGTAAGGTCATGAACATGAGGGCAGTGGGTGGTAAGGTCATGAACATGAGGGTGGTGGGTCGTAAGGTCATAAACATGAGGGCAGTGGGTGGTAAGGTCATGAACATGAGGGCATTAGGTGATAAGGTCATGAACATGAGGGCAGTGGGTGGTAAGGTCATGAACATGAGGGCAGTGGG